TTCGATTACGAGAGCCCCGCAACTTAATTTGCTTTGTTCTGATGTCTCTGTTCCCCGTGAGATTCTAATTGAACTCCTGATTTCCCTGAAAATCTGTAGATTATATATGAGTGGTTTTCTCATACAACTTCACTACTACGTTAAAATGATTCTTTTGTATTTTCTCCCAAAAAGCTAATTTAAAACTTTTCATGGCTTTATACCAAGTGCTTTTGATGGTGCGTTTTTGGTTTTCATGTTATCCATGACTTAGTCTTTATACATCAACCATGGGCTCCCTACTTCACTTTTCCCATTGTAGCGTCGATAAACAATCCAACATAAATTCCATTCCAGCATATAAAAAAAAACATGAGAACTTTTAAAAGTATGATTTCGCTCACTCAGACTATATAAGCTTACTTCATTTGGGATTAAAGAAGAAGCGACTCAATTCCACTTATTTTATGCTGAGAGAATAATACAATATTCAGAATTCTGTCATGTAATCTTTATCCTCTAATTATTTGAGGGACATCGGTTTTGAAAGATATTAGCTTGCATAATATGTAATCGATGTCAAACCCCATGATTCCGATCCGTAACGGAGCGTAGATAGAACTATAGAGTATTATAGTTCATTGTTCATAATGAGATTACTAGTCTAAAACAAAGAAGATGAAGAAGTTTTCCGAAGGTATTTATAGTTTTGTCTAAACTGTTGACTATTTCATCTTCAAGTTGTTTCCAGACCTTACAAGAGAGCATGCTTGTTAACAGTCTCGAAAGGTTTGGTCAATTCAATAGAAAACCATATGCGGTACATAATCATGTACCGCATATGGTTTTCTATTGAATTGACCAAACCTTCACGAACATTCTCGTCAAACAGAAGTGAAGAGAGCGAGTCAAATTTGCCAAATTTGCGGATTGAAATCTGTGTATCTGGATAGACTTCAATAATAACATCCTTAGTTATCCTGCTAAGAATGTGCTATTGTGTGAATTATCACAGACAACCTTCATTTTAATGAGATACATGGTGAATATATACTTGTAGACCTGTGGTTCACACCCACGTTTTCTATTTGACTTTACAAGACTCAAAAACATTGCAACAGTAATTCTTACACTACATTTCAAAATTTCTAGTGGTATACTGTTGATATGCTCTGTTTGATACATTTTGTTGTCATTTGCTTTATAACATCTTGAACTTAAAAAATCTTATTTAATAGATAACTATTTGAGGAATTAATTCAATTACGTTATCATCAATGTCATAGTTTGAAGTTACAATGTCAGGGCCTTATTTTCATCAAGAAACTTTAAGATGCTTATATGTCTACCAGAAGTAAAAGCAGGAGATATATATTTTCTAACTATGTTTGAATCGCTCTTATTCTCTCATTTGTGAGGTTCAAAAAATCTAAATGACCACCAAGATTATTTCATTCTTGTGGCAGTTTGCACATATTCGTTGCTTTTTGTATGTACGATATTTTATGTTTCAATGCTTATCGTTGATTCTAGCCTTGGGTGAATCGGGTATCTTTTTTTTTAAATAAGCTGTTGAACATCTATATATTTATCATCAATCCACTAATGATGCTTCTCAACAAGCAGAACCCAATATGTCAAATTATTAGCCTATTATAAGTAGTGTTTCTGAGGGATTTCCCAAATTATTCTATGTAACTTTTACTGAATCGAATGTTGATTACGAATACAGCACCATTAGTTTCGTAGGACTTAAATGGCAAAATGTTGATGCTCTTTTTGATCGACGAGTTGGTTATACGCAGAATTCAAACAACACTGAAGGTAGCTTTACTACGTAAAAAGACTGTGATCTGAAAACTGTGATCTGAAAGCTGTGATCGTAAAAAAATTGTGAAAGACACATAACGATATTTTGCGATTAGTTTTATCAATGAGGCCAATCTTTTGATCTCGAATACATCCAAGTTATTCTTCTGTCGTTCTTTTTCTTTGCTGGAGTTTTTTTTTTTTTTTTTTTTGAGCGGGTTTAACCCTTACGTGTTATTTAATGTTGAAATCTAAATATTTTGTACGCAATTTTATTTATTCTATTTTTGGTGATAATACTGGGTTAGTAAGACACGTCTTACTAATTAAACCATAGCTGGGGAGACAAGAGGAGGATTCCCATCTTTCCCAAGGGTATTTTCGCGTAAGTGAATATGACGAATCCAACTGAAATAGGAACTCGCCTCTCCAGTTAACATTGCACCATCCGCACATCCAAGCTTACAGAACCTGGTATTCCCAAGCGGTTACTGTATAATTATTAACAGGCTAAACGTTGCTTAACTTCGGTGATCAGGCGGGAAGCGGAGTTTCAACGTAAATGAAAGCCTTACAGTTTTGTTATTGAAAACTCAATTATACTGCAAAGGGATGTACAATGTAGTTCATTTGAGTCTCTCCATTTATATACGAAGAATCATCTAACGATAAACTTTTGACAGCGTGTATATTCTGACTAGCTTGTAGTTACATAGATTAATATACAACAAGGATCTATGTACTGTATTTTCAGACTTGCTATACTAGGCGGCAAAGCATCAGTTCAGTACTAGAATCAATGTCTTAGTATTCTTTCCCGCCTCGGTCCACTGCCGAAATCTTCACATCATAAATAAAAGCTAACAACCTCAACAGCTATAACTTATTGAAAAGATGCTAACAAATTGGCATATGGCGAACACATTAAGAAGCAAGATGTCAGAAGTGAGTTCAGCAATAGAAGAAACTGTTAACATAGAAATTACGGTTGCCTCTAGCAATTTCAACTGCAAAAAATGAGACCTTCCGCCAATCCGGTACAGAATTTAGATTCATAAAGTCTAGGTACAATAGAGGAAAGGCCATCATAACAAGTACCATGAATGTATTTATTAAAAAAAAAGGGGCAGATTGAAGTTATGTTACGGCCGTATGAAATTGATTGAAGCCAAGATACTAGATCAAGACATATAACATTGCAGATGCTTCTTTGCATTTTATCAAGAATCCATAAAATAAAAAAGCGAATTTATAAAAATGATATCAGACATTCAGTAAAGTGCCACACGTGGTACCCACTTGAGCAATCATATCACTTACGATTTATGACTGACTAGGCAGAAGAGTTTGCCACATTAGGTTGCTTTTTCTTTCTATGGTAGACTGGTTGCCAAACAAGGTTATAGGATTCTGTCCATAGCTTAGCATTAATTGATGGATTAATACCTTTTTCAAAGTTTACTTGCGCATAAGTGAATGTAAATTACCTGACCAGAATTCGAACTCTGCTCTTCGATTTACCACACCTAGCCGTTACACCACACTAACACATTCAAAAATGATAAAGTTCACTGATAAAATGCCTGTTGCAGCTGTTCATGGTTTTAATTTGACATAATTTCCGGCCGGACTCAGTATAGTAATTTTCCTAATTGTTAACCAAACTCGATGGAATGGATTATTATTATTATTATTATTATTATTTCTGCTATGGACACACTACCTACCAAGTCTGCGGAAAGACCTAAGGCAGGTCGTGGTGTGTTGTTATGGCCACATTTCATGTTAATTTTTTTTTTTTTTTTTTTTTTTATCTCCGATGAAGTTGCTAGCGTTACATAGACAAAGTTCTCCTTAGTGTGTGTGCTGTACTTAATAAGACAATTTTCTGTATGTCTCTTAAGCTGGGGTTTCCAGGGATTCTTTCAATGTGTTGTTTTGTTCCATTTTTTATAATTCCAAGTGCACCTATTACCACTGGTATTATTCTTGTTTTCAATTTCCACATTTTTCTATTTCAATTTCCAGGTCTTTGTATTTTGATAGTTTTTCAAATTCCTTGGTTGCTATGTTACAATCCGCTGGACAAGCCATATCAATTAGTAGGCAAGTTTTTTTCTTTCTGGTTTTGACAATAATGTCCGGCCTATTTGCTTCAATTTTTCTGTCTGTGTGGATGGTATAATCCCATAGAATGGTGACATCTTCTATTTCTGTAACCGGCGCTGGCCGATGTTCATACCAGTGTTTGCTTACACATTTTCCAAAGTGTTTGCACATTGTCCAGTGTAAGTATTGCCCCACTCTATCGTGACGATTTTTATATTCATTTGGGGCAAGTATAGAACATCCTGAGATTAGATGGTCTATTGTTTCTTGGTATTTGTCACAGAACCTGCATTTTGGATCCACATTATTATGTATGATATTTGCCTGAAAATTCCTAGTGAAAAGACTCTGGTCTTGCGCTGCAAGAATAAAGCCTTCAGTTTCAGACTTTAATCCAGATGCTCGTAACCATCGATGAGTATTAACTTTATCAACATTGGGTTTATTTGCACGTTCTGGATATTGGCCATGCAGAGGTTTGTCTTGCCAGCGTTGTTTCATCTGTTCAAGGGCTTTATCCTTGGCTTTTTTTCATATCTTTTGCTGCAATAGTTGGTTCTTGGCTTCTGTTTTGATTTACTACAGAATCTACTAAATGTAAATGTTGTTTGTATTTACTGCCTTCTTTTATTATTGAATATTTTTTCTTTCTGTTTTCATGTTGTTTCACTAATTTTATCATCCAGTCATTTGTTGTTTCCATGTAAGTTAGTAAGCCAATTATTATTATTATTATTATTATTATTATTATTATTATTATTATTATTATTATTATTAACTAGAAAGATTTTACGAGTACAGAAAAGCTGAACGTGCAAAAACATAACTGTAAATGAAATTTGATTCTAAATAACTTCTATTTATTTTACTTAATATAGTCAATTCAAGTAGAAATTCCGAACAGTCCTCATCTATATTTTATTATTTTCAATATTTCTACACATGCTTTTATTTCTATCTAGTGATGTTATGGTATTTATATTGTCTTTCTATTTCGAATTCAACAGTAACTCGACTTTTTTGTTCGGTTCATATATTGCTTTGTCGATAATAGTTCTGTTTGTTCTTCTTGCTTGAATGCAGACATCAATGTTTAGCTTGAAATGTTTTCGGTCACCGGTACATTCTTTCTCTTCTATCTATCTATCTATCTATCTATCTATCTATCTATCTATGTCTTTGATTTCCCGTCGTGTTAGCTAAAACTGTCAACATTTTCGAAGGCAGAACATATCTCAGTAGGTTGTCTTTAAGAGCTCATGTCATTTTTAATCATTTGAGACATGTACTATGATTGCATACAATGTTGTTTTCCTTCTTATTGGGAACTGGGAAACAGTAGTTAGATGTGAAGACAAAGGAATTATGAAGTACCCACAGAGCTGAGCGTAATCCTCTACAGCTAAATGCTAAAAGTTCGTCACATATTTAACCAAAATCTACAGGTAACTGAAATCAATAATTTTGTTTGTTTGATCACATGCCAATATATTAAATTTATTTTGTTGTTCATGTATAATTGACGACTTAATCAAGGAAAATATTAAATCTTTTAATTAATACGAAATTCTTGGTGTAACAGTTATTGATGCGAAAAGTGAGATCAGCAAACTGAATTTAAATGCAACCTAATCTGTTGAGTTCACTTTCGCACAAATGCCTTTGAAAAAGCTTAAATCATTCTCTTACTCTCCCCCACTCAATCTCTAGTGTAAATATCTGGATTAAGTGCGCTTTTTAACTTTCTCCTTCTCCATATAGATGAACAACAACTCTGAAAACCAAACAGTGCAGAATGCAGTGGAAAACCACTACTTTTCCCAAAAATCATAGCACTTCACAGATAATAAAAAAGAAGATGCGGAGAGCCATGATCGCCTGTGTTCTGAAGGAAGTGACATTAAGAAACTTTACGTAATAATTGCTATAAGAATGAGCTATATATAGAGTCATAATTAAATTTGTTCTGTTGTGAGAATTATTTCAACAAATGTAAATATTGTACATTTCAAAAGCAGTTCAAATGTTTCTTTATGTATGAATCATAAGTCAACGTAAACTGGAAATTTTTCAAACACGCTGTAAAAACACAGACAGTGTCTCCATCTACTGCATCGCTTTACAACTGTGAAATTAATTATTTTTATTATTATTCACATGTTTGTAATTTTTAACTGTTTTTCTTTTTCTCAACATTTCGAGCCGATCTTCGTCCTTCAACATAGCCGTGGAGCTCTCCACTCGTTAACAAAATCGATCAACTGGTAACGCAATACATAATGTTAATAATATATCTTGTCTTTCATTTTAATAGCTTTTTGAACATGTTTCAAATATCACACATTCGCATACATTAAGCATAACGGTTATTTATACAGCTTTAATTAAATAAATGAATATTTGTAAATCATTATCAGTTGTAACTAGATTAGTTATGATAAAATTTATATGAAATCCAAACATCATATGTTGTTCTCATCAGATTACGTAATATCCAAAATCTGAAAAGTAAATTTTAGGAAACTGACAAAAAAGCTATCAATAAATGAATACAAAATATTATATCAGGACAATGTGTTTTGTTAATGAAAAGTCAGTGACATATTTAATAAGGTAATCTACAAATTTTAATTTACAAAATATGCTAAAGTTTTATTTTATTTTTATTTATGTATAACATTTTTTGAATAACGTCAACAGCTTTATTACGATAAAAACATGGAATTCAAGGTGATTGTCATTTCATGACAATAATTTTACTTGCATTTCTAAAATATTTCCGAAGTGCAAGTAAAATTATTTAACTCTCTTTTATTATATAACAAATAGGTAAGGAGGTCGTGTATTTAACTGAAATGAAAGTAAATCCTCTTTTCTTTTTGATTCTGTGCTAAAGATAATCTGTCGGAGGAAGAGAGTCACTGAATAAAAAGTTCTACACATATTTTTGTCTATCTTGATCATTTATTTTCAAAATTTCTTTTCTTAAGCGTAGATTAAACATTTGCGTTTATATTCATACGACACACATTAGTTTTGACGTAATCATTTTCATATTAATTCATTGAAGTTTTACCATCTACTTATTTCATTTCATTTCACACTACCCAACTTCCAACAAATATTCAAGCAATTAAATCATCGTATTTTTTTTCATTTTCTTAAATGTGTTAACTAGAAAAATCGGAAGATATTTCTTTGATTAGCTGATCATGATATGCAATGACTGATGAACTATGTATCTATTATTTCCAGATGTCTACGGATGTGCATCTTAATTTCTTATTCCAGTATAAAAAATAATAATGAAATAGAAAAAGCCGGTAATATTCTGACTGAAATGTCTACAATATAAACAAACGTCTATAAGTCATTTTTTCCAAAAGCCCTGTTACCATTTGAATTCTCTGTCGTAGAATCTAGTAAGCCATGTAATTCTATCATCGAATACATTTTTCGATATATGGAAAACAATAAATGGATAATAAAACCGTAATATTCTTAAATGGTTTGTCGAATGCGAGCCGGGGCGGGTGAAGACGAAAAATAAAAAGGAAATATATTGTTATTAATCAAATAGAAAAAAAACGATTTTGTGTGGATCTCTTGTCACCTGATTCATCTTGCATGCATATTCTTTCACTCAACTAATTTATCAGGTTTATTTGTTCTTTAATAACACCCCTAGTCAAGACAAATCTTTCACTAATGTGAAAAAAGCGTACCAGATTGGAGGGATTTTGTGTTCAAAAACTCAGTTATAAATAAGTGGCAACGGTTTCCCAAGTTGGTAGGAATTATTTCTCTTAATTTATTAACTACTTTCAGAATTATTCAGATAATGATACGATTAATTTTCATGTTATAATTACAAAAATTTATGTATGTTCTCAAATATAAACAAGATTCATGTAAATTCTCCCTTGGCTCTCTCTCTCTCTCTCTCTCTCTATATATATATATATATATATATATATATATATATATATATATATATATATATATATATATATTTTAACTGACGTTTTTTCGTCATATATATAAATATAATATGAATGAATGTGCTTATAAAGCTCTGTAAATTTCAAAATAAGTCATTTCAAAATTCGCTTGAAAATGAAACAGAACTAGGTCCTTTAATTTAATTCTATAATTGAATTGGAAGATTTAGCTTCTGTTTTTGAAACATGGTAATTAATGTGTAGCGATGGAATCATATTTTAAAAAATAATAACAATATATATATATATATATATTTTATTATTATTATTAATAATAATAATAATAATAATGGTAGTAGTAGCAGTAGTAAGTAACCTGATTATTACTATTAGATTATTTTACTTATTTACTATTTACTTTACTATTTATAAATTTGATTTTTGATTTTTAATATTTTAAATTGTAAATTTCAAATTTAAATTTATTTTTAACCTTTATATAATAGTGTTTAATAATATTATTAATTCTTATACTCTTCTTTTTAAAATATTTTTTTTGTAATCTTTAATATATTGACATGTATTAATTACAAATTGTATTAATCAAGATTAATAATATTATTAACATATTTTAATTTATTTTATTCTTACTTTGCTGGTAATTTTTAGTTTATGTATTTCCTTTAAATTATATTGATGTGTGTTTTTCAAGTATCACCACGATATGCGTGCATAAGATTACTCACTCTTTTTTCTCCTTACCCCCTCCCCTGTTTAACTCTTTCTTCTTTCTTCTTCCCCTTTCCTCTCCTCTGCTTTACAATTTACCTTCTTTTTGTTTTCCTTTTTTTTTTTCTTTCCTTTTCCTGTCTAAAAAATCTAATGATGCCTGTGACAAAGCTGTAGCAGAAATTTCGAAATCATTCGTATTGACCGCCTAAGAGACGAACGACAACGGTGAAAAGCGTCAGAAAATATCCTGTTGCTATGTCCCTAGACTCACAGTGTTGCACAATATGTGGAGTTGTGTGCAGGGACTGAATTTTCACATACGGCACAAAGAAAAAGCAGAATGAGATTGTCGGATTCACATTTAAATCACATTTAAATCTATTTCTATAGCGATATTTAAATATGATTCCATACATATAATTTGTATATATATATATATATATATATATATATATATATATATAGAGAGAGAGAGAGAGAGAGAGAGAGAGAGAGAGTAGGAAAGATAGGGAAATAGAGAGGTAGATAACTAGTTAATGACTCTTTACTACACATACACACACACATATAATCCATAAAGATTATTTCGCTTATATTTTATTTCGTGAATATCCATATGTTCATCTCTTCAGACCAAATTTGTTTAGTAAATGGAAACAATTTGCAGGACTGATATATTACATTGACAGCGGGAAGAGAAAGCAAGTGAGAAAAGAAGGATAGGAAGAAAAAAAAGATTTGAAAGTTCTTTTCAAAAGTGATATAGCGAGAGGGTAAGGAAAGGGAAAGGAAGAGATGAATGGATAGTAGTAAGCCTAAATTAGACTGACCCGGCCAAGAATTGTTTCCTTAAATTGTGGATTTTTTTTACATCGGATTATACAGCAAATTGACTGATATTGGCTGTTATGTTAGGTAGGACAAATCAATATAATTCCAAATTATTAGCCTAAAAAAGCCTTTAATGCAAATAATAAACAAAAATTACAATAATGAAAATAATATCAAACATACATGAAGAGATTTTAAGTACAGAAAAATAATAAAAACGTAAAAATAAAAATAAAAAAACTTAGTAAGATTATGTATGGATTATAATACAAAAGATGTTAATTTAGAATTATAAATTTTGTATGCATCGGCAAGACAGTCATAGACCCAACTATATATATAAAAACACGAAAAAACCACAACACTGTGTGATACGCAAAATAAACTCACATTCACACATACATATAAACATACATACACGTGAAGATATGTACACCCATATTTGCTAGCACCCATTTAAACGACTGAACATTTCAAGTGTTCATCCCTGCCCCCAAAAAAAAAGTTTTAAAGGAATTTTAAATTTGTTCTTAAGTCTACAATTGAAAATCAGTTCGTTACTTTGATTTAACAACTGTTTAGTATGTCTGCATTTGATTATTGCAATTTTTCTTGCATACACAGATTTGTATAAGCCGATGTGCAAAGTTCCAGACTTTAAGGAAACAATTCTTGGACAAGTCAGTCTAATTTAGGCTTACTACTACCCATTCATCTAATGCTTTTCTTTTCCTTATTCTCTCTCTATCTCACCTTTTAAAAGAACTTGACCGTCCGTCACTTTTCTTCTTACCCTCCTTCTTTCTTCTCTTATCCAATCCTTTCCTTTCCCCCCTGTCAAACTAATATATCAGTTCGGAGAATTGTCTCCATTTGCTAAAAGTTCTCTCTCTGAAGAGATGAATATATAAATATTCATGAAATAAATTATAATCGAAATGAATTTTGAAGGTTTTTTTCTTTATTATTATGATAATGCTCTGCAGTTTACATTGAGCTGTATCTGGATTAAATTCTTCCTCAGTCACAAATTGTATATATATATATATATATATATATATATATATATATATATATATATATGTGTGTGTGTGTGTGTGTGTGTGTGTGTGTGTGTGTGTGTGTGTGTGTGTGTGTGTGCACGTTTGTGAGTTCACCCATTTGCTGGGGGGTTGATATGTTGCTATCTCTACTACAAGAACATGGAACAAACTTTAAAACATCCAACGGGTTTTCGTATATTCTAACATATTTTGCTCAGATACTTCATATCAATTATTTTACCATATATATATATATATATATATATATATATATATATATGATAAAAATAATTGATATATATATATATATATATATATATATATATATATATATATATATATATGTGTGTGTGTGTGTGTGTGTATAGTCCGGCTGTTTAACTCTAATAACTGAGCTGCTGGACCTCATATGAAGTGAAAAAATTTCGAATATCTTTTTATTTTTTTATTTTTTAATTAGCACAAAATTAAGTATAATTATTTTCATGACAATCTCATATATGTGCTGTAATCTAAATATAAAATACTTTCTTCTTCGACGTATCGGAAAACTTTCTTGTCTTCATTTTTTCATTGCCTTATATAACCTTTTGGATTCCAAGACTACTAGATAACGAAAAATCAGATAATGTTCTTTCTTCTATTCTCTTAATCACCAGTTGCAACACACTTGTAACTTTTCGCATTGGAAAAAGCGCCTACTGACATGCTTGTTTCTTCCTAGCTGTATATTTGTGGCGCCATCAGACCCTTCTTGGGAAGCAAAAACCTGTTATTATACCTTTGTTTTTATTCGATGGACACTCTAAAGACAACGCCAAATTTTATGTGGTATCAGGAATATGTTTATTGCTTTAAACAGGTTTTACATTTTACTTTTTCACTTGAAAAGTTCCGAAGAACGTTCGCTTATTTTTTATCAATAATTCAGACTCACGTCGTCATATCATGTTAGCTCTCTGTTCTTTGCTGTTATACTTCTGGTTTTAATAAGCACGTGTATGCGATTATTTTCTTACTTTGGTAATTATTTATCTCATTGGGCAGAGAAAAATGGCTCAGATTTTTCTGTTCAAATAGCAGTGATTAATGATGGGATATGCGTACGGCTTTTGGTGTGAGACTGCTTGTTTATAAATATAGGCAAGGAATTGCCGAACTATCCGATGATTAAGACAAAAATTTCCAACTGAAGAAATCAGAATCTGTTTACCGACTGATTATTATATTTCCTACTGTTTGCTCCAGGAAAAAAAAATGTGGTTCGCAGTTTTCTCGTTCTCTCATTTGCAATGTATAAAGTCTTTCAATAAATCTTTCTTCAGAAAATCATATCAAATCCACTCTGGTATATGAAAAAGATATTGAAAATAACCCTGTTTTTATTCACGACAATTTGCATGTGCGGGTTATGTAATGTAGAGCGGTTCGTAAGGAAAAATAGGCGAATGAGTTCGAAATCCAGTCGAGTCTTATTACATTCATGTAAATACTTGAGAAAGATACAAATCTATATCTTCTCCTTCCAGCGGAAATAGGTTAAATAGTAGGGCAGACTGAGCTCGTTAGCCTTGATTGTAAGCACACACACTAGAAGAAGGAAAAGTTTGACTTCAGAACAATATGTAGCCCTGATGAAGCAAATATTATGCAACCAACGAAATTATCGTGGAGTTCTCAATAACATTATGGCCCTTACTACAGTCGATCTAATATATGGATAGATTATAGAGAAAAATTATTGTGCATCATTCTTTGAAATATCTTAACATTTATAAAATAAAAATATACAATGAAGAATCAAAAATTCGGAGCTAGATAGATAGTTATTGGATGAATTTTTATACGAAATTTTCATTGCATACTGTTCGCTTCAGGTTAAAAATATTCTCTACTGAATGACGTTGAAAAATGAAAAACAAATAGTGAAAAAAATATTTGCTTTTTAAAATTAATGAAATTTATATTTAAAATAAATTACATTTAATTGTTTATTATTACACCTACTAGGAATATGTGTACATATAATTCATTTCAACTCAGTAACGAATACAATACAAAAGTATTTATCTAAACTTACAAAACTTGTCCCAATTACTTAAAAAAGTGATTTATAAACATGTGACTCAATAATAACAACATTAAACTGTAGCTGAAATTTACAATATAGACAGCAAAATCCCCCCAAATACATAGTTCAGACATCTAAGAATTTAAATAAAACTGAAGGACATTTTTTACGATTTAGTTGTTCATCGTAAGAGATTTTACCATAATTTCAATGTGTAGTTTTGATTAAGAGAAAAAATAATATGAGTCGAAAATGTTTTGAAAGTCGGCTAGTTTCGGAATGCTATACGTTAAATTTATGTTCAGGATCATAAAAATGACCAACTTTCCTTATAAAACTACTGTTGATAAAAGTAAAATAATTAAAAGCAAGATAAAAAACACAAAATTAAAACAAAAGCAATACAAAGCTTAATGAGTTAAATATCTAAATGTATTGGACTTCAAAATTTACAGACTGAGTGTCTTTGTATATGTAATGTTTTGATATCAATTCAAAGAGAAGAATTTTTACTCCCCCCCATTCCTCCTATTTTATGTATATAACTGCCTCTATCAATGAAGAAAAGGTTATTTGTCTGAAGGTGTTTCTGATTGTTTTTTCTAGACATGCTTCAAAAATATATATATGTTACTCCATGTGTTCTTAAAATAAACCTATTCCTCCGTATTCCAGTTGTAATGAAGAAGTTCTGTTAACTGCTATTTCATGTAACAAACTTCAAAGTGGACGCTCCGAGGAACACTACATTCATAACCTCATGCGATGGGCTACTAAATGACGTGTGTGATATGGATGTAAGAGAGGAAGAAACAAGTACAGATTAGGAGGGTAAGGAGGATACATAACGATCCCAGACATTATTTAAAGACTGATACATACAGATGTTTATGTTATTTCGTAAACTATATACAAGACATACAACTTTCCCGAGAAATATGTATCTCACACATCATTTAGTAGCCACTCCAGTGACAGGACCCAAAGAGTGTGAGTTCAATACCCGGTTAAGGCAGTGGAGAACATTCAGAGAGAAATTAACAGTAAATAACTGATAACTGACATCAATCAAACATGGCACGTGGAACTAGAACAGTCTACCCCAGTGAACGAAATAAAGTGTTCAGTTCGACATTCCAACCACCTGAAAAAGGCCGGAGTGTACAACGGCCGAAACGTTGTGATAAATATGGCGACAAAGATGAGGACAATAGTCCGAATAATGTACAAAAATGTTTTATTGACATTATATAGTCTATGAATGCTTTGTAATACCGAATCAACCAAATCGGTTCATTTACATATACGCTTGTTTATGTCTCTTTTGGTTTTATAGGGATACTTTTCTAAATATAACTTAATATAGATGTTACGCATTTATTTACTTTCTCCTTGATGATGTTGCTATTTAATTTCTATTGTTAAACTATTTTTTTTCTTTTTTACTAATAGAAAAACCTTTCATTGTCGTTATTTTTAAGTACAGTTTTCTATAAATCCCACGTAACGTTTTACTGCATTTGTCATCAAATTAAAAAGACAAAATATAAATTACACATCAATGAAATGCTAATGATGCATATCTGACTCTTTGATAGTGTGCTTTTATTGCTTATTTTTTAGAAGTTAATTACTTCAGATAATACCGGATGCACTTAGTATAATTAGGAAAAGTATCAAGGGCTAGTTACTAATTTACCAATTAAGAATTATTGCTGGGAGAACAATACAAGGAAAAAGAGTTTTTGCCTCTCAAAATTGAATAAAACTTTAATGATGTCTATCGCAGTGAATGCTTTCCCTGTTTTATGTATTCAATAATGTATTTGAACAGAATATTTACTTGTAATTTAAACAATATTTTCATAATCATGATAGAATATATCCTTGTTATACATTAACTGGCCAGCGTCCTTATATATATATATATATATATATATATATATATATATATATATATATATATATGCATTAAAACGAAAATTAAAAACGGAAAAGACCGGTTTAAAACTTCCCCATTTCATTTACTCACCCTGTGGCCTATATATATACAGCCCGCTAAAAGAAGTAGTGACGAATAAGCAAAAGCATAGTTGAGGCGCGAAACTAAAAATATTGCGCAGATTTTTTATGTCTAAATATTATATAATTCTAAACGCTTTCTATATATATATATATATATATATATATATATATATATATATATATATATATATATATATATAAGTATAGGATTGGTATGTACGGAATAAATTTCAATAACCAACAAATACTATACTTAAAAGAGTGCTCAATACAGAGTAGAGCAAATACAATAATTTATTCGAAAATTATAAGATAAATATGTTATAAAATCACTACAAAAATAGTAATTTTGTTTCAACATTTCTGGTTTCTTATAAAGTGATGGTGTCGAATGGCTTTTAAAAAAGTTCAAATCAGTTAAACACCTCTCGCTAAGGGGAAACGCTGTTACATAGGCCTGAATGACCAATCAAAATACAAGTATACGATAATTCAAAAAACTTGACAACGAACTAAGATAATAATAATTATTTAATGCTTTAATGTTGGGGTTAAACAAAGATAGAATTTATTCTAACAAATAAATATTATATTATACGATAAAATTTGAAATTAAAAATTACCCATTTTGAAATTTAAATTTAATCTATAGTAAGTTTAAAATTATAAAATTACTGAGGAAAAAAGAAAAATACAT